TTTCAACTTTTTAATTGCAATTAGCTAAAAATAAATAAATAATAAATAAATAAATAAAATAAATAAATAAAAAATAAAAAAAAAAAAAATAATAAAATAAAAATAAAATAAAATAAAATAAAATAAATAACCTTGATCTGCTCCCAAAATGACAGGACATTATTATGTGTAACTATATCTGGGAACATAATACGTCCATTACTTTGACATGTTCTCACCATGTCCATGTCGGTTTTCCAATTTCTTATAACATTCCGAGTGGACTGGCTTCTCTGTATACCGTATCTCCTACATGTGACCCATCCATTGTGTGTTCTTGCTTTTAGACAAGCATTTCTGAGAATGAAAAATGAAAAAAGAATGGTATGCCATGTATTATGTAATTGAATTTGTGTAAATTCATTCATTCATTCATCTTCAGTATCTGCTTTCACTTGATCAGGGCTGCAGTGGATCCAGAAACACTTCCCATGAGCAGGGAATACACCTTGGATGGGATGACAATACATCACTGGACACATGTTTATATGCTAATTCACACCTAAGGGCATTTTAATTTTAGTCAATCCACCTTGGAAGGGGGGAAGAAACTGGAGAACCTTGAGAAAACCTACATAAACACAAGGAGAACATGTGAAGTCTTATATTATCTTTGGTCTGCATTCATAGCAGCAAGAATGTTATGTTATGTAAGATTTTACTGATTCTTACCATCTATGTGGGAGAATGACTACTAAAAAAAAACTAGTTGTGAGACATTGCTCATATCCATGAGGTGGGGTTGCAGGAGGGAGTGTGCTGTGTGAGCGGCATGGGAGATCAAGTCTCTTGTGAGGTCTGTAACGTGTGCTTGAGGTTGAGTCACCTTGAGAACCGAAACTGGGGAATATATCCTAACAGATTTTCCTTTTGAGACCCTTCACATGAACACACACACACATACGGTAACCAGTAAAATAAGTTGATGTCTATGTGATGTAAAAACATTTTGCTCTGCTGAATATGGTGTAATCATGAGGTCTCGGTTATCTGTGTGTCCAATCACATGAGCAGTTATGATGATGTCTCCTGAGTCATTCTCTGAGGAGTAGAAAGAGAGAGAGAGAATCTGTGCTGTTCTCCAGTGACAGTGTGTTCATGTTCTGTAAGTTTTCTTAAGGTCCAGGATGTTGTGATCAGTAAAATGGTCCACTGCAAACACCTCACCGAGACACTTCTGCTTGTGTGCTGCAGTACAGTATGTGGCACAGACCACTGGTGACGGTGGCAAGGAAAACTCCCTAAGATGATACGAGGTAGAAACCTTGAGAGGAACCAGACTGAGAAGGGAACCTGTCCTCATCTGGATAACAACAGATAGTGTGAAAGAAAAAGAAAGTTCATTATGGTTTTTATATGAAGTCTGTTTGTTGAACTAGTCCACTGTACACTAAAGGAGACCCAAGTGCAAAATTGTAAGTGGTAATTGCAGTCCTAAGGCCATAGCAATAACCAGCGCCACAGCGAAATATGTCCATGTGAAATTGAAGTCCAAAACCATTTCCATGGTACTTCAAACAGTACCATCCTCAGCAATCTCCAGGCGGCACTCTTTGCGGTCATCCTCAGTAACAGAATGTAGCCTCCAGTTGATGAGAACTCCAACCAGAGGTAGGGCATCAGACCACCAGCAGAGCGCGATGTTGTGTTTGCTGCACACTAGGAGGAGCTTGTCATACACCATCCTCATTATTTCTCTCCAAAAAAGCCTCCCAGCCGGCAGATCTATGCTCATGACCCAGCTCAGTGAGAGTCTGCTTTCTTTTCATTAATTTGCTTTACACTAGATTTGCTTTCTGCTCTTATAATGATGCAGATATAAAATTAAAAAGTGAGATAAAGGGATACTTCAGTGAAAAATTAAATATACCATTTTCCCCTTTACATTAAATGTAGTTTTATAGTGTAAGATGTGTTTAGTGGCTGATGTTTTCTTAGTTTTGCACCAGAGCCACTTTGTTACCAAGTATAGAAAGGGGAAGCCCCTTACACAAAAGTCACATGAACATAACAGGATTACATGTAAAATACACTATATATCAAATGATCATAGCAAGTGAAAATATATTGAAGATGGGTGAATGTATCTAATATTTCTTATGAGATTATTATCAATCAAGTCTAAACTTATTCAGCCGTTTTTTTGTTTTGTTTTGTTTTAAACAAATCATGAATAAGCATTAGATTTGCTTATTCAGATAATTGTACTTCTTTCTAGAAATAAATGTTTCAAATTTAAAAAGACCTGCAATTAGAATCCGACTATTTCAATAAGTCAAATATTTGCTTTATTGTAAGAAATACTAGATGCAATTGACTATATTCAAGATACAACCCCAATTCTGAAAAAGTTCGGACAGTGTGGAAAATGCTAAGAAAAACAAAGAGGAGTGATGTGTATTTAAACAAAAAATGTGTAAAGACAAGGTATTTGATATTTTACCTAATCAACTGCATAGGTATTTTAAGTTAAACGTTTATTTTGAAATTGATGCATGCAACATGCTCCAAAAAAGTTGGGACAGGAGCAATTTAGGATTAATAGCAATGTGACAAGTCGTCTAATCATAGTATATAAGAAGCCTCCTAAAAAGGCCTAGTCCTTCAAGCGAAAGGATGGGTCAAGGCTTGCAAATCTGCCAACAGATGCATCAGTGAATAATCCAACACTTTGAGAACAACATTCTCCAAAGATAAATCAGTAGGATTTGGGACATTTCACCATCTACATTGCACAATATAATGAAAAGGTTCAAGGAATCTGGTCAAATCTCGGTGCGTAAAGGCTAAAAGCCATGAATGTACATGATCTCTGATTCCTCAGATGTCGCTGTCTTAAAAACTGTCATGAGTCTGTAATGAGTATCCTGACATGGGCTCAAGCATACTTTGGTAAACCTTTGTCACTCAACACCATTCGCCGCTGCATCTACAGATGCAAGTTAAGGCTTTACTATGCAAAGCAGAAGCCATAAATTAACACTGTCCAGATGTGCCACTGACTTCTCAGGGCTCAGTCTCTTCTGAGTTGGACAGTAATACAGTGGAATCATGTTTTGTGGCCTGACAAGTCAACATTTCAAACAGTTTTTGAACAAAACAGCCGTCATGTTCTCTGGGCCAAAGAGGAAAAGGACCATCTAAGCTGTTATCAGCATCAGGTCCAAAAAGCCAGTGTCTGTCATGGTATGGGGGGTGTCAGTGCCCATGGAATGTGTAACTTGTACATCTGTGAGGGTAGCGTTAATGCAGAAAGACATATACACATTTTGATCCAGAGCAGGACAACACCAAACTACATTCTGCCTGGATTACAAGCGCATGGTTGCATAAACAGAGAGTGCGGGTGCTAGCATGGCCTGCCTACAGTCCTGACCTGCCTCCAATTGAGAATATGTGGTGCATTATGAAGCACAAAATAAGGTAATGAAGGCCCTATACAGTTGCACAGCTGAAGAAATGCATAATGGGTGAATGGGGAAAATTCCACTTACTAAACTTAACCAACTGGTGTCTTCAGTGTTCAAACACTTAATAAGTGTTATTAAAAGAAAAGGTGATGTTACACAGTGGTAAACAGCTGACTGTCCCAACTTTCTTAGTGTGTTGCAGTCCTCAGATTTGAAATAAGTGTATATTTTCAAAGATAAATTAAATTCACAAAGTGAAACATCAAATAATGTGTTAATAATGTGTTTTCAATATATCACAGGGTGAATTTAATTTTCAAATGACTCTTTTTGTTAGTTTTTTGCATTTTCCCTACTGTCCCAACTCTTTCACTTGCTAAAATGACTTTTTTTTTGCAGCATATAAAATGTACAACTCAGTGCAGTTTGAGGTGAGTGTGGGATGAAAAAAAAACATGTTCATTTTATGAGTAGGCCTAGTTTATTTATTCAGGGCCTGCAGTTTTATTATACATACTAATTGTACTAAGCATCAGCATCATCATTATCATTATCATGATAATGCTTTGTATAGTACAAAGAAAACAAACAAACATAAACAAAGAAAATAGTTATCTTAAAGGAAAACTCATTGAAACTTCGTGTCAATGGAAAACTGATGTGAGCACTTGAGGGCCAGTGCAAGTGCATGAATCACAAAATTAATCAATACTCTGTATTTTGTTCCTGCTTCAACTTAAAAACTAGTATTCTCTTTTACGCTTAGAGGATATTTGTGATAATGTCAAATAAAATAGCTAAATTCTCAATTCTGATTGGCCAAGGTGTTGAAGAATTTTCTATAACAGCAGCTCTGACAATAGTTTTGGCTACAATTTAAATCTCATGTTTCTATTAATGCACTTGTTCTGATATGCTATCACTTCTATAGTAACAACTTGCACAGAGATTTGTATAGCAGGACACAGGACTGTATAGCCATTGGAATTAGCCATTTAGTGCTTAAACTTGTTCAGGTGGATCCAGAACCTATCCCGAGAACACTGTGTGTGAAGAAGGAGAATTCACCCCAGATCGGATGCCAGTCCATTGGATGACACCAAGCAATTTAGCATTGCAGATCCACATACTGGCCATTTTAGACAGTGGGAAGAAACTGGAGAACCCTGAGGAAACCCACAGAACACAGGGAGAACATGCAAAACCAATTACACTCATGCTTTTACAAATTAAAAAATGTCATCACATTTCATATTATGCATTGCTGACCCTGTGCTCTGATCACACCTTCTTTCCAAGATGAAATGTACAAAGGACGCACTGTGGTGTATTAAACAGATATATACTATACTAAGATCATCTCATATCTCTGTTCTTCTTCAAATGTAGTACAGAAACATTTGGGAATTTTTAGAGTAACGAATAATCAAAACATGTTGATCTTGATAGTTTTGCTGAACTATCACTAGTTTGGCTAAATCTGTAACCAAAGATTTTGAAATATTTGTACAAATGGGCAATTTTGAGGACAAATTTAATCCAACTTTAGATTCCAATAGCTCAGTGGTTAAGACATTGGACTTCAGATCAGAAGGTCATGAGTTCAAATCCCAGTACTGCCAAGCTGCCACTGCTAGGCCCTTGAACAAGGACTTTGATTGCTCAGTTGTATAAAAATGAAATACTTGTAAGTTGCTCAGGATAAGGATGTTTGCCAAATGCTGTAATGTAATGTTTTTGTTCACTGCTTTTGTGAAAAAATCGAAACATCTAGACAGGTGTTTCTTCTTGAGCAAAAATATATAGTACATGGAGTAGTATAATAAATGTTGTGCTTTGCCAGTGTGGGAAATGCCTTCCCAATACCTGGTTGGTTGGAATATTAAATACTCTGTCCCATATCACAGTCAGTGAGAGTGTGTGGGAGGAATCCTCCAAAAGTAATTTATTGTAAATCAAAGAAACAGCTCCACATGTCCTTGTGAACTTCAAACAGTTCATTAGAGTGTGACAGTTGATCGCTGACTCCCACAGTACCCTACTGTATAAGCCTGTAATGCACATCTCTGTCCTAAATACAGAAAGCAAGAATGTCCTGGGAGAGAATAAAAACCGCAAAGCTTGTAAGTCTCCATCACTGATGCTATTATGGAGGTTGTGTCCACGGCAATTTGTTCTGTTCAGTCCTTAATGACTGGTCAGAACAAAAAATAGTTTGTGTTATTGGAGATAGTCTTATTTTGAAAATAAATGTGTCACCTAAAACTATAAACTTATGTCTTTCACATATTAAATATGCTTGTTACCATTGCATTGAATTTTTGTTCAGTGAATTTTTGTTCTTTTCTTTGCTATAGATAGAAAAATCCTCACAAACCACACAAAGTATTTATTCCTCCAAAATTTATTATGACCTCAAATCCAGGTTTTTGTAGGTCTGTCTTTGTAATGTTTTCAGTTTGTTGTCTTATTCCGGATAAATTCGTTGCTAGCTTTAAACAAAACCTTTGTTAAGAGAAAGTGGATTTGTGGTGAATAAAATGGAAAACTTGGAGACCATGGATTATATACAGTATATCCTGTCTATGTATCAAACCACATATCTGAAGGTCCTGATTGATCTACAAAGTGACTGGAGAGAGGGTTTAATCTGTATTCTTGGATAAATCAGTGCTAACCGGAATTACATAGGCATGCTTACCGGATTCTGCCAAGGACATTAGAATGCACTTTGTCTTAGTAATTTTATATCCACTTCTGCATCTGAAGTTGTTAAATATTTTAAGCAACTGAGAGAAAGAGGATGATATCTCTGATAAGTGCAACAAGATGTCATCTGTAAAAAGGGAATGATGACGTCTAGAGTTGGAAAGAGTGATTTGAGGAGGTTGTATTGCTTGAGATAATGGCTTTAGGGAAAGCACAAAAACTCAAGGCGACAGTGGTCACCCGTGTGGTGCCTCTACTGAGCTCAAATGAATTGGACCAACATTTCATGTCACCACAGAAGCAGAGAACATTACATAATGCTTAAACTATGAGTATAAGCTTAAAATATGACCTAAACTCAAATCAGGCCATGTTTTACAAAAGGTACTTAAACACTTTCTCTGCATATATCAAGAAACTTACATGATTTAGACAATCAGACTGTAGCAAGGCAATATGTACAATCATAATCTGGCTATTCATTGGAGCTATACATATTTTTATTCCTGAACTTTCCATTTACAAAACACATTAGGTCCAAGCTGATGTTATTTATAACCCTTCTAATAGGCTAATAACTATAATAACATGATAACGAATGTAATACATTTTTGATAAGGTTATCATTTCCAACACTGGAACAAAATTAAAATAAAAAACAATTAATGTTGAGCATCACTAATTTATGACATTAAGAAGGTTATGAATAATATCTGAATCAGGATGTCTTTTGAGAAAGCTTGTTGGTCATTTTGACAGACTATAACAAAGGCATAGTTTTGCATCCATCCAGATTCATCTGTAATAATCGGTTAGACTTGTCTATAGTTTGAGCACTAAATGCAGTATTTGCCTTCTTTTTTTCGTTTTATCAATATGAGTATATATAACTATTATTCATAACCAGTGTCCCTTTGTGTGTGGTGTTTGCATGTTCTCCTTGCGCTTCAGGAGTTTTTATATGGGTACTCCAAAGACACGCATTGTAGTTTGATTAGCATTTCCAAATTGTATGTAATCATCTTGTGCCCAGAGTCCCCTGGGATAGGCTCCAGGCTCCCTGTGACCCTGTGTAGGATAGGTGGAACCTAGATGGGACACAGGCACCATACATACATTCACACACTACATTGTCACATCAAAGAACAATTTAGATTAGCAAATCCACCTTCCAGCATGTTTCTTGGTGGGTGTGGGAACTGGAGTACCTTGATGCAACCCATATAAACATCAGAGAGAACATGTGAAAACCGAAAAGAGAGACAATGCCGCCATGTCCTAATAATAAACATAATAATTATTTCAGTTCAAAGGTTAAAACCTCTTTTAACCTAAACCTAAACCTCAAAGGTTTAAAACCTCGCACTTAAGGGAGTTTAAATATACTGTTAAATTCTTCAGGATCGGTGTGACGCACACCACCACACGAGTACCTCATTATAATTTAATCTCAGAGGCAGAAATCTGCTGGGGTGCTCCTCATTAATGTGTTAGTTTCATTTGGTGTATGACAGTCCACTTGATAGTCAAATTATTTTGTATGCAGATGTTAAGCTTTTTCGATATACTATGATTTTGGCAAGTGCTAACTGTGTTAGCTCTGTAACTAAGCTATTTTAGTTTGTGCTTTGAGATGATTTGATTTTTTAAGTCTTGTATTATGAATGTAGGATGCAATTATATATAATTTCCTTGCCACAATATCTCTGTGTTCATGACTGGGTCGGCATGATCTTGAATAAACCTTCTTGATTCACTATGTTACTGATTACTGAATAACTTGTTTATATGTATTTATGGATGGAAAGACGCTGAAATGGGCAGCACGTAGCACTGGTGCCTCACAGCTCCAGGGTTCAGGGTTCGATCCTGAGCTTGGGTTACTGTCTGCATGGAGTTTCTGTGCATGTTCTCCCCACGTCTGTGTGAGTTTCCTCCAGGTTCACCTGTGTCCTCCATCTGTAAAAAAAAACAAAAAAACAAAAAACAGACAAAAAAACAACATGCCAGTAGATGGATGGTCTAAGATTGTCACCCTAGGAGTGAATGGTGCCCTGTGATGGCCTGGTGTCCCTTCCAGTGTGTATCCCTGCCTTACTTCCAATTTTCCTGGGATAGACTCCAGACCCACCAGAGTCCTGACCAGGATGAAGCGTTTACTGAAATTGAGGGATAGAGGAGGCTACAATTTTCTAAGTATAAATTGTTAACAATTTAGAAAATTGTGACACCCATTTCTCTTTCTTCAGCCATCTTTTTTTCCTATCTTTAATACCTCCATTATATCCGATGACCCGGACCATCACAGAGTCCAAGTGTTCTCCTTGCTAATTCCCTTCTCTTTTCTATCTCATTTTCTTTTCTTCATTCTTTGATTCATTTCTCTAACCATGCTTACCTTCCTTCTTACATTCGTTCTTTCTTCACCCCTTCTCCCTTTCCTCTCTGCAGAATCGACAGGGTCTTGCATAAGTATTCACCCCCTTTGAACTCTTCGACATTTTGTAGTGTTACCATCTGTAACTGATATGGATTTTTATTGGAATTAAACGTTATGAATTGACACCAAACATCCCATAATGCATGTAGGTCTTCGTGGTTTGTTTAGCACTCGGGTTGGTTCAGTTTTCCCATTTCTCCTGGGATTTTCCCCACTGTTTCAAACAGGAAATATTAACGGTCTGTCCATGACGCGTTATCTGTGTAGTGCATTCTCTCTCTCTCTCTCTCTCTCTCTCTCTCTCTCTCTCTCTCTCTCTCTCTCTCTCTCTCTCTCTCTCTCTGTGTGTGTGTGGTGTGTGTGTGTGTTTTATGGAGTTAAAACCGTACAGCTTCAATCACTTGTAATTGAAACCGAGGCGCAGAACCGTTAACGAGAAGCGCAAACTTGGCGGAGGTTGTCGTTGTGTTGGTGCTTTGGGGCTGGAGCTGTTGCTTGGCAGTGCGCGCGCAGCGTCTCGAGGGAGCGCAGGAAATAGAAGCGGGCATGCGCCAACGCGCGCGCTACACTTCAGCTGTACACGAGCGCCGAGCGCAGCGTCACGCGGACACGGAGCTGCTCGCGGACAGCTGGCATGCAACCCAAGTTGGTAGGATAAAACGGGGTTTCGTGGTCGCGCGCCTTCCAGTTAAGTTTTTTCCTGAGCCATGCTTGAGTTTTGAGGAAGATTGAAAGGAGACGCGCTGAGTTACAGAGTAGAAGGACTTTCTGAGCACAATGAAGACAGTTAAGGTCAGTCTTGGCTTTGTTATTTATTTATTTATTTATTTATAATTATATATTAACTCGAAATCTATTAAAACACAATGCAACATACGAACTAATAAAGAAAGATCACATTGTTAGACTATGTGAGTAAATCTTACATCATGTGCATGTGTGTTTTTAAATACTAATAAGTGTTTAAAGCAGTGATAGAAAGACGGACTTTTCCTTCCTGTCCCATGTTCAGATCATTCCCATCACTCGTGCACTGATGCCCAGACAGGCAAAGCCCATTACATAACACCATCTCACAGTCTTACGGAGACAGACAAAAGATTTCCTCAGCCATTCCTCCTGCTGTCAGAGATTTGCGAGATCTTCTCTCGGATAGCTTTGAATTATTTCTCACCAGGCTATAAATAGTACAAGGCTGCTCGTCCTCCCACCCATCCAATCGGAAATGGATGCAGACTAAAGAACAGGGCTTAGTGGAGCAGGGATCTTTTCCAAAAATCAAAGCAGCACTTCATTACTTCATTGATCTCATTAACAGTACCTTGATCCTTTGGCTTTGTGTGTCATTGATGATGCCAAGGAAACTACTGAGACTCATGGATTTGCACGTGCATTCAAAGGAATTTATTCTCTTTCCCAGATGTGGATGTTCAGTTTTAGAGTGTCTGCAAGCAACACTAACAGTTGCATGTA